AAAGAAAATGCTTTAGTAACTAGTTATTTCATAATTAAACTATCTTTAACTTTTTCTTTCTCAATTCCAGTCAAATCATGCAAAAATAACTTACATCGGATGCGACCATGTTGGTGAGTTCAGCATAGCTTGGATTGTTGCGTTTATCGCCGAACAAGAAGAAGTCGAACATGACCGGGTATGGCAACAAATCTTTTGCAGCAACAAACACATCTATGCAATACCCTCGGATCTCGTCCGTACGGTCATCCTTCGACACGAAAGCCTTGTAACTCACCCTATCCGGAACCCCGACTCTCAACCTTCTCCCGTTGCGCGGAAAATCCCACCCGCGCGGCTTAACCGCGGTTAATCCCGGCCACATTACGTCATGCAGCCGTTGGTTAGACTTAGACCGGTTAGGAGCCCTCGTGTAAAGATTCTCGGGAGGCACCACCGAGAGCCCCGAATAGTTGGACCAATACCCTATCTGCCTGTAACTCCTCCCGACCACGTTCAACACGTCAAAAGCCGGACGCAAAACAGATTTATCCTGGTCAAACGCGATCCGTCCCGTGAGGCCCACGGACTCCGTCTGCAGTATGTTTCTCCGCAGCTCTTTCCCTCCATTGAACCTATTCAACGAGCCCAAATTCAGGGCCTGCTTCCCAAACCCATTAAAAATAGTATCATTAGAGAAGGTAATACTCCCGCCGCCGTCCATATACTTTCCGACCGCGTTCGCGATCGTCCAAACCGTGTCGTAAGCATAGAGGCCGTAAGGGTTGAGCCCGATCGAGCCATTACTCAACTCATCCCTCCACCTTTCCGTAAACGCCCTTCTCGCATTCGAGTCGGGCGTGTGGGGACGAAACGCGATGACCCCTTGAATCGAATCTGCCAGTTTTGCGGAGACACGGGTGGAGTCGAGCACGGTGGAGAGCCATGTCGTGGCTATCCAAACGTACCCTCTATCGACCATCCTGAGACGAGAGGCGAGCTCGAAAATCCTAAGCCCGACCATGGAAAAAGCGTGGACCACAATCACTCGGGACTCCATCATCGAGACCCTGACGAGTTGGGTCATGATTTCGTCGTCCGTGGCTAGTGTCTCGGGCGAGAGAAGCGCCTTGTAGGTGATTTTGCAGCGTCTATCAGCTAGCTTTTCAGCTAGGGCAATCATACTGCCTCGATTGTGCTCGTCGTCCGGGTAAATTGCAACGACCTCTCGGTATCCGTAGTAGGCTATGGTGTCGGCTATGGCGGCCATCTGGAAGAGGTCGTTAGGGGCCGTTTGGATGAAGTAGGGGTATTGGAGGGAGGCGAGGCTCGGGTCGAGGGCCGTGAAGGAGAGCATGGGGACGTGGAGCTCGTTCGCCAGGTGGGATAGGATGTGGGCCATCCCGGAGGATTGCGGCCCCATTATGGCCACCGTGTCGCCCTCCATGTACTGGAGTCCTCCGATGATTCCGAGAAAGCCGCTGTAATTGGAGTCATGCATGGAGAGGAGTAGCTTTGTGCCGCCGAGAATGTCCGGATTTGAGTTTATGTCGTTGACTGCGGCGTTCATGGCGATCTTGGCCACCTTGCCGTTGATGGTGCCGAAGGTGAAGATGGCGCCGATCTTGATCACATCTGGTCTTGAGATTCTTTCACTTGAAAGACCCTCTGTGAGGAGGAGGGAAAGTAAGAGCACCAACGGAATCGACAAATTCATGCTATGTTAGGCTCAGAAAGAGAGTAAAGTACTTGGCCAATAAAGATAAAATATAAGATAGATGCCTTTTTTAAAGGTACCTTTTCAACGCAAATACTTAGGTGTGCCAAGGCACATGGTAGTAGCACTGCCTTTGCAAGTTTTAGAGATAAAGAATCACAGGCCATGGTTTAAAACACATTGAGATAAAACAACAGTTTATTAGTACGTGAGGCTCCAAGGTTACGTAGAGACAAAATGGATTGGATGAATCATGAAAAGCGTGTCATTTAACAAAGGAATACGTGAAAAGCTGGGCACCAAAGATATGAATTAATGAGATATTTGGCAACATTTCAAACGTGGGAATTATTAAGAATCTTAGGACAGGAGTACAGATTATATAAGTTATGTTCTAAAGGGGTTGCAAATGCGGTAGTAATAATAATTCTCATTCAAACCGTTCTTAATGCATATATATAGGGAAATTGCTACAATCCCGTTACGGAATTATTTTGTCGGGATTTGTAACCATTGGATCATCATGTAATTGTCATAGATAATTAATCTAACGGTTACAAACCCCGACGAAATGATTTCGTAACAGGACTGTAGAATCTCCCATATATATGTATATATATATATATATATATACAAAGTGGGACCGACCGGATATGAAATTTAATTTGGTAAATAAGACAGAGATAGATACACCACGTTTGATTAACCACTTTTTTTTAACTCAACCTCACTATCATCAATATTATCCATATTATTAAATAATATCAATCAATCATTTATACACACCACATCAACCTTAATTCACTATTTATCCACTCACATTATTTTAACTAATCATCACATCAAATCATCTCTCTCCTACTTTTACATTAAATCATTTTAATTATTTTATTTTAAATATTATTTTAATATATCCACTAACAACTAACCATAATACTTTTTTCAAAATTAACCAAACCAAACCAAATAATCCAAACAAAACAAAAATAAAATTCTATAAACAAAACATGCTCTAAGTTTTTTTGGGGTGAAGAGTGTGCAAGTTGGGGCATGCGTCTTATAATGAAATTAAAGTTGCGTTCAATGGTCTCTGACCACATGCGCACTTTAGGTTTGTGGGACAAGACAACTCACTCACTCACTCACTCCCAAAACACCCAAAATATCTAACTGCGTGTCACTTTTTGCATTACCATGTGCCATTGTGGTGCCGTCAATCAATTGGAACGTCTTTAGGGCATGATTGTTTATCATCCCTACAGTAATTTTTTTTACTCAAATTCAAATTTAACTCAACTTTAACTCAACACCACTATCTCTAATATTATTATATAATTAAATAACATCAACAAATCATTATTACATATCACATCAACTTTAATCACTATTCATCCACTCACATAATTCTAACTAATTTTAACTAACTATCACTTCCAATCATTTTTCTCCTACTTTACATCAAATCAACTTTAACTATTTTATTTTAAATACTATTTTAATATATCCACTAACAACTAACCATACAACTTTTTCTTAAACTTAACCATAATTAAAAAATTCTAGTTTTTTTACTATTCAAACCATAAACAATCACCCCCTTAATGTTTGGTATATGGTCCACTCGATGTACGGAAGGGAGAAAAGTGCAAAAGTAAATAAATATATTTGCTCCGATTGTCTTTTCATCAGCGTCGGAGGTTAAGTCAGGGCAAATCCATCGAAACACACCATAACAAAACATAAATATCTTTATGTTGTGTATTTGGTGGAATTTACCACTAATCTTATCATTACATTAATTTATTTAAAGTGTGCATAGAAGTGTGTGCCAATGTGCCTATAAAAAGGGCCACACACTTTGTAAAATTTGTACTGAAAAACGGACGAAAAAGTGAAGAAAGAAAGCAAAGTATAATTTGTTCCAGTTTTTACATTGTGTTCTTTATATTCCTCGCATTTTATAACACGTTATCAGCACGAGCGCTCTACCCGGTCAAGAAAGGTAGGAATATAATAATAATAATATATATATGTACATAT